GCGATGGTGATGATGATGGGGGAGGGGGGAGAAAAAAGACGAAGGCGAAGAAGATGAAGATAAAGAAGAAGATGATGAACAAAAAGACCAAGAAGAAAAAGAAAGAAAAAAAAAACCGAAAAGTTGACAAGAAAAATAGAAGCAGTAAAAAAATAAAATAAAAAAGAAATAAGGGCAAAAACATTTTTGCGGGAGGGGCATTGCCGCAATAATAAATATATAGAAATCAAAAAGCATCACACAAACACACAAAACTTTTTTCTTTATTTTTCTTTTTTTTTCTCTCCTTTTTTTTGCATCTTCAAGAGGAAAAGAGAGATGAAGAGAAAGAGAAGAAAGAGGGGAGAAGATGAAAAGATGATTTCTGAAGAGAATAAAGGAATAAAGATGGAAAAAACCATCCCCGTTTTTTGCATGAAAACAAAGCCACCCCCTCCCCTCTCCGTCTCCCCCAGTCCCCGCAGTCAGTCAAACTGCCGGCCCCAAACTGTGTGTGTGCAACCAACTATATTTTGACCACATTTTGCCTAAACCAACCAAACACAAACACAAACACACACACACACACATACTCACTCCCCACCGAAAAGTCTATCCCTTTCTTTTTTATAGCGTGTCTTCTTTTAACCTCCAATACCTGTAGATTTGCACCTTATCTTCTATTCTTTCTGTTTTACCACTACTAATTTTTTAAATATCACTATCTTCGTCCTAATCATAATCAACAACAACAACATCTTACATTTGTCTAACCGACTAAGCAGTATCTATATCTTAACCATCCACACCTTTTTGACCATCACATACAATCATATGATATCATAACGAACTACCACGGAAACATGTATCGCTCAATACAGAATTCACCTTTTCATCAACGGTATCCATATTCGCATTACCTAGATGCAATCAGCTTATTCCAATTTAGACTTTTTTCTTCCTTCTCTCTGCTCCCTTTCGTAATGGCAACAACACTGACGACAACGTCGGCGACAGCAACTAGAACAACGAGTCTACCACCTCCTCTTCAGCCCTCTAAGGTTGTTTACCATAGAATGCAACTGAGGTGTTCACCCTGCTCATGGTTCCAAAAATCTTTAATTCTTTTCTTCTTCGTCTTCAATTTTTTTCCGTTCTCTTCTTACTTCAATTATGGATTTGCAGTTACATACCGCGCAAAACGTCAACCAACTAACCGACAATCTAGCAAACCCAACACATCATTACTCCGTTCCCTCCGCTTCTGCTGCCTTTTAGTATGTATACAGAGGCATTCAGTTCTGTGTTATTGTCCTGCTCCTGTTCTTATTATAGAATAAACAATCATCAATGCGTCTTACTCTACTTCCCGTTTTCCTTTTCCCTCCCTCTCCATCTGCTTCAAAGTTCTTCTTCTCAAAAAAAGACACTTTTTTGAAGGCACTTTACATCAGGATTGTTGCAGAGAGCGGAAAATGTGTCTTCCTCCTCCCTGACACAGCGAAGGCGGAAAATTGAAAGTGGGACTCCATGACTCCTTCGTGGAACAAATAGCGGGAGAGGCGGGAGAACAAGGAAAGTTGTAAAATTTCAGTGACTTGAGGACATAAAAAAAACGCTGTAATGAGTCGACAAGGATTTTCACTAGAGTAAAAATTTTGTGCATTACAGTGTAATTGCTTTTATAATATCCGTAAAAAAAACACCTTCATGCGGTTCTAATAAAATATCTGAAAATCTTCAAGTTGTCAAGTAATCTTTTTTTGAAGTATTTAACAGCTACTAATAAGATCTTACAAATTACATTTAGCAATTATTGTATCCATAATTAATATAAAAGATTATTGGTTATAGTTTTCTTTGAAAAGTCATTAAGTGCTACGAATGTTTTCAGAAAAAGACGATTTGTATAAAACGTTTACGCTGTTCTTTCACTGCTCTAGCATCTGGAAGACGTACTGTATTAGAATGAAATGGAATTTCCTATACAACACGATCATACTCTTGAAAACTGCAAGTCTCAGCTGATTCAACAAAGACTTTATCTGGCATAAAAAACATAAATTTCGTTTTAATGTAGGGCTGTTGTCGACAAAGCAAACTCAACTTCGGAAGAAATGATGAGAGAACTAGGCTTGGGAACCAGTTAACACTGTTTTTTTAAAAACAATAAATCTTTAAATCTGCGCCCATCACTTGAAATAAAATAATCATTCGATAAAGACCTTTCTCGAATACAGAACCGATTTTTAACGAAGATTAACAACAATACCAAGAAGTTTTCTACTATATACCGATCAGGTCTGATACAAATATTTTCGGTTTAGCTTAATATTTCATATATAAGAAAAATATCGCTTTAAGTATATTTAAAGTGTGTTCTCTGCTGACAGTGACTGAAAATTTATTTTTATTCCCTAACTTCAAACCAAGAACCTCTCAAAATCTCAGACTCATCACTCCCAATGAATTCCAATGCTAAGATATCCATACGATGGTTGATAACAAAAATAAGTAAAAAATTAACTGTTTCAAAATAATCTTAACTAAATATAAATAAGTCAAAGCTGAATTTATCAAAAATGAGTCCTTTTAACAGTTAGATTATAAGATGAATGTGAAGAAATAAAATGAAGATTGAAATAAAAGCTGCCAGTTTCTCAAAAGCTTTAAACCTGTGTTTCTGCATTTTAATACTTCAAACTCTTTATTCTAATAAACCACTGTCAAGGTCAATTCCTTGTTCTTTAACGTCATGAAGTAAACTGATCATAGAGGAACTAATAGTAGTGTACAATTAAAATGGGTTCATTTTAGTGTACAATTAAAATGGGTTCATTTTTGAGTGGCAGACAAGGCTCTTTAAAAAAATGCCTACCAAGACAGCCTGAACCGGTCGACTAGTAAACTAATGAATCCCTTGCTTTTTCATAAAAAATCAAAATATCGCTCTCGCTTAAACCTTCGGTCCCTTACTTGCTAGTAAAAGCAAAATCTTTC